TCGCGTCACAATAACATTATGCTCATTACTTTCATAATGGACCCTGTATATATGATTCGAGATCTGGTGGTGAATGGTGTGAAATCCCATATATATTGTGGTGGTTCGTCTGGTTTTTGATAAATGATTAAATTATTTATTCCAAGGTATTTTAATTATTACAGATATAATATTGTTAGTTTTTTATTATTATTATTGTATTTTATTAATTAATTATAATTCATATTCATAGAATTTTATTGTTACTTATCATCATTCTTTTTGTCGTTTTTTTTTCTTCTTCTGTTTTTCCTTTGTGTTATAAATACAACTAAATCGCAATAAATCGTAGTGTAATTCTCTTTTGTTGTTTGAAATAAATCGAATTGAATCGAATTGAGTCAGATCGTTCTTTCTAGAAGAAACTTCAAAAAAACGTGCTAACATTTTTTGGTGCCGAAACCCGGGAAAGAAGTAGAAGAAATAGAAAGTTCTTAGAAGCTATAGAAATAAAGAAGTAGCAAGGGAATGGGCAATTTTATTTTCCGACATATATTTTTTGAAGCTTCTACTTGTGAAATTCGAACCATTGTGTCAGAATACGTTTGATTGGTACTCCAGAAGATAACAGCTGTCTAAGGATGTTGAGGATGGCAGCTGAATTGTTGGATGCTGTGGGAGATGCCCAAATGTAACGACTATGGTGATCTATGATGACCTGTGTCTGGTGTTCTTGGCTTCATTTCCCAAAACAATTGTATCGAGTCCAATGAGGTCAAATGGTTGGAGGTCGCTGTCCGGTATTTGGTAGTGGCCGATTGTTGGTTGGTTTGACTGTTTGCTGAGCTGACAAACTTTACATGAGGAAACATGCTCTTTTATGGTCCTGAGCATTTGTGGCCACCAGTAATATTTAGAAAATCAGCTTCAATGTTTTGTTTTTTCCAGGATGTCCAAAGTCATCATGAAAGTGGTGAAGACATTTTGCCCATAGGGAATCAGGTACAACTGCTTTGGAATGGCCTCGAATTCGTATAGTGACAATGCCATTTTTAATTTGAGGGTTCTTTACAAATCGCAAGCCTGCCTGTTGTTGAGCAATCTTCATCTTATCTTCGGTTATGAATGTACACACTGGATTCCTGGAAAGTGCATCAACATGTGTTTGCTGTCCTCCTGCTCTGTGGATAATGATGAACGATCGAGAAGATAGCTTCATTGACCATCGGAAAAGTCTTCCCCAGGGTTTTTATTATTCAATAGCCATTTTAAAGCACTATGATCAGTGACAATTTGGAATGGCTTGTCCAGGTAGTTGTTGAAATGTCTGACTGTTTCGATGATGGCAAAACATTCCAACTCTGTAGCGGTGTAGCGTGACTGTGTTAGATTGAGCCGTTTTGAGAAATAGGAAACAATCCGTTCTCTGCGCGCGCCATCTGGATGTTTCTGTGCAAGAATTGCACCAAGTCCTTGCTCTGAGGCATCAGAGTAGAGCTTACATGTTAAGGTGGGATCGTACATTGCCAGAACTGGAGGTTGTGTGATTAAATTCTTCAAAGTTTCAAATGCTTTTTAGTGAATTTCAGACCAGTGGAAAATTTTATCTTTCTTCAATAAATCTGTTAGAGGTTGTGCTAGTGAACTGAAATATTTTATAAATCTCCGATAATAACTACACAATCCGTGAAATTGCTGTATGTTTTTGACTGTTTTGGGGATTGGGAAACTTTTAACAGCTTCTATTTTCCGAGGTGAAGGTGTACCCCGATTGTATTTGATGATATATCCAAGATATTCTATTTATTCTCTGATAAAAGAAAATTTTTGAAGCTTGAGCTTGAGGTTTTGGGAATATAATTTTTCTAGCACTTCTGATAGAAGGTCAAAATGTTATTCTAAAGTTTTATAATATATGATGAAATCATAAAGATAGTTGATGCACCCCTTGTACATTAATGGACCAAGGGTTTGTTGTATGATTCGCTGAAAAGTAGCAGGGGCGTTTTTCAACCCAAAAGGCATTACTAACCACTCATAAAGCCCTTCGTTGGTGATAAATGCTGTCTTCTCTGTGCTGTCTGGAGCCATTTCGACATGCCAATAACCTGAAGCGATGTCCAACGAAGTGAAGTATTTCGTTCCCTGAAGACGATCGATGACTTCTTGAATGTTAGGCAGAGGCATCTTGTCGTCAATGGTAAGGGCATTGAGGCGGCGGTTATCAACGCAAAGCCTCTTTTGGCCATCCGCCTTTGGTACGAGTGTGACTGGGAAGGCCCATGGACTTCGACTGTCTCGAACTAGTCCTTTTTTCTTTAAATCTTCAACCTGTCGTTCAATCTCATCATACTCTGAGGCTGATCTTCGATACGGTCGAAGTTGGATAGGCGGATGAGGAACGGTATGGATGTTGTGTTTTGCTATTTTGATTTTTCCTACATCAAAATAATTTTCACTAAAAATAGTTATATATTTATGTAATATCTTGTCGAGGGTTTGATTTGTATCTGGTCAAATGATTCGCCTGAAATTTACAATTATACAAAGATGGTCCTTTAGTAGTCACAACACCATTCTTGATGTCGACATGAAGATTGAACAGAGTTCCCACGTCAAGACCTAGTAGAAGGGGGTACATGAAGTTTCTGAGGATGTGTAAATATATCTGATGGGTGACGTGACTGATGGTAAGATTGACTTTAACGCGACCAAAGCTTCTTGTTCTGAAATTAGCTTGATTGATGTAAATGGATGATGATGGTTCCGTTTGTAGATTCAAATTTTCGAATTGGGAATATGACATTATACTGATGGTTGAACCTGTATCTATGAATGCTTGTATTGGGGTGGAGTTGACTAATGTGTTGATGTTGATGAACTTTGGAAAGATTGGTCGCTCTATTATTTCAAATTAAATGTTGGTAAATATGTTGAGTTAGAAGATGAAAGTTCGGAAGTAGCATACAAAGTTGAGGGTTGTTCGTTTGCTGCGGTTACTTTAGGGAATGTTTTGGGTCTATATGGGCATTCATTATGCCGATGAAAATTATTTAAATTTCGCATTTTGCAAAATCTGCATGGGTGTGGTGGCTTGGGAGGTGAAGCGACGTAAGAGGTAGCAGATTTAAAGTCTTTAAATTTATTATCGCCGAAGGCTGATTTGGAGTTCTTTTGTATGGAGCTAACAGCAGCCTCCAATTTTAAGGTTGCACTTACCCAAGTCTCTATATCTTCGAAATGTATTGGTGCTAAGCTTATCTTCCATTGTACTGGTAATCCTTCCGTCAACATCTGGATCTGTTCGACTTTGGATAAGGAAGTTTGTCTTAGAAGCCGGATTTTGGACTGAAAGTAGTCATTAACGGATTCATCGCGGCGTAGATACCTCCGCTGTGCATCAATTGATGGTGTTGCTGTTGATGATCCAAATCTTGTAATACATTTTTGCTTGATGGTTACCCTATTGATTAATATTTGTTCCTGCAATTTCATCAGCATACCATTCTAAGGCTCTTCCTTCTAGATAGTAAAAGAACAACTTTCCTTTATCTTCATCTGTAACATGTAATTCAAAAAGTTTTACTCAGCTCTGGGCACGAATATCCTTCTGATCCCCGTTGTATTTTTGCAATTTTAAAATATTTTCTTTCGACATAATGATATTAGATATTATTTTTATTCTCAAAAAATTTTTTTTTTCAGTATTCAATTTTTTGCTTAAAAATTATTAAAATACAAATTATGTTCACAATATGACTGAAATAAATATAATATTCAAATGAATAAAATCTTTTTGATGCTTGAATAAATGAAAATACTTGCCGGCTGCGCCAAAACTGTGGTGGTTCGTCTGGTTTTGGATAAATGATTCAATTATTCATTCCAAGGTATTTTAATTATTACAGATATAGTATAAATAATTAATTATAAAAAACACTTTTTAAAAAAAGCTTTTATTCAAAATTTTATTTCTAATTCTATTATTTTATTTGTTAAATGGTACCTTCAGAAAAAAAAGCAATACTTCAGAAATATTTATTCTGTTATTTTTAGTGCATTTTAAATTAAAGCTTTTTTTAAAGTGTTTTTTATAATTAATTATTCACGCTATTTTTAGTCGTATATATGCCAGTCCAAAAAAAAAGCCTTATCACTGAGACGAGGTTGGCCTTAAATAGCTGCAAGCCTGCTCGCAGCAGATTGGTCAATTCCTCGTGGGAGGTCGGAAGTGACGTAAGCAAAATCCGTTACTAACAGAACTGCGTCTCTTTGCTTTTGGGAACCCTAAATTTATTGAATTATATTACAAAGTTAGAGACACCCAGTGGATTATTGTTAGGGGATAATTGGTACATATAAAATTTGAATTATAATTAAGCAATTGATTAAATAGTTAAAAGTAACAACATACTAATTGAAAAAGGGAAACTATTTAAAAAGGTGTCGTGAAATGTATGGTGGTATATTGTTACACACACACCTATCTACTTATATAATTGCCTTATTCTCTCTGTGTGAAGTTCACTGATAGATTTTGGTCATCAACGTGCGCATCATCATTATGATTATTATCATTATCTAATGATAATTATTTATTTATCTACTTATATAATTGCCTTATTCTGTCTGTGTGAAGTTCACTGTGTGAAGTTCACGGATTGATTTTGGTCATCAACGCGCGCATCATCATTATGATCATTCATTATCTAATGATAATTATTTATTTTTATATATAATTGCCTTATTCTGTCTGTGTGAAGTTCACTGTGTGAAGTTCAAGGATAGACTTTGGTCAGAATGGATAAAATAAAAAAGTGTCAAGGGATGGGAATCGAACCCACGACCTTCCGCTTACCGGGCAGATGCCATGACCACTAGGCTACCTAGGACAACGATAGGTTATTTTAAATTATATATAAATTAAAACTATTTATTTTCAAACTACTTATATAATTGCCTAATTCTGTCTGTGTGAAGTTCACGGATAGATTTTGGTCAGAATGGATAAAATAAAAAAGTGTCAAGGGATGGGAATCGAACCCACGACCTTCCGCTTACCGGGCAGATGCCATGACTCCTAGGCTACCTAGGAAAACGATAGGTTATTTTAAATTATATATAAATTAAATATAAAAACTATATATTCAAATTATTCTACTTAGCTCACGAACAGCGCCCTCTATCAAGGTTATAAATACGTTTAAAATCGAAATCTTTTCAAATTTTTATTAATAATAGTTCGCTTACTAATTAGAATACTTGATCTGAATCGAAATATTTATAGACGCTCGCTCGATTTGAAGATTTATATCGTAACTAATCTGACTGTAAAGTTTGGAGCGGGACGTTTCACAAGAGTGACATCCACGGCGCCAATTTATAATTGTAACGAATAGTGTTTGAATAAAACATTTAATCGGGTAAACCCGGGCGTTGCCCGGGTCATTCGTCTAGTATATATATAATGAATATAAATATATGCGTGATGATATTGGAATAAGATAACTAAATTATAACAGATAAAATTAATATATTTATTGACTTTTCTCATTTATTTGCTTGTAATTCCAAGGACGTTTTAGTTAGGAATCTGGATATTTGGATTTCTAATTCCTTCCTTGTCTTGAACATTTATTGAAAAAATCCTTTCACAACCTCCAGCATTGTCGCAGTTTTAGCCAAGAAAATTTGAAATCGACAGGTTCTGGGAAAAAATAGTTATTTTTTAGTCAGAAAAAGATAATGAAAATATTGCTGTATCATGTTTGATAATCAGATACAAAATTATATAGGGAAAAAATTCCAAAAGAGCAGAGACCACGGGTGAAGCGAGTTCACTTTTAGTATGAAGAAACAAAATTTTAACAGAAAACATTCATTCGATTAGAAGACACAAAGCCAGATCATCTCTATATATATATATAAATGAATGTATGTGTGTGTGTTGGGTCCGAAGACCATTCCATCCTTGTCAAGGGGAGTGCTAACCTGTCTCTCCTTTTTTTTCTACAATGTGTGTGGTGTGTCTGTCCTTTATGCCTGACCAAACCACTCATTGGAACGCCATAAAACTTTGGGAAGTTATTTAGTATAGTACTGGGAAGGTTTCTAGCAAATAAAATTTTTAAAATAACTTTTCGCCTAAAAATAATCAAGATAAATATTCTAATTTATCTGTTATAATTCAACAATCTGCTCTAAATATTATCATGCATATAGAAAAAATGATTTTATGCCTCTTCTTTATGCCGGACCAAACTACGCATTTGATCGCAATTTAACAAAGCGAAATTGTTTAATATACTACCAGAAAGGTTTCTATCTAATTATTAGTTTGAAAAACCTTTTTTTTTTTGGAAAAAACAAGGATAAATTTTATTAATCTGTTATATTTTCAGCACTCTGATTTATTATCTCTGTATTATCTTTATATATATAAAAATCAAAATTTGTCTGTCTGTTTATCGATAAACTCAGAAACTACTTAACCAAATGTCACCAAATTTTCCACATAACTACCAATGACCCTGAAGATCCTTTAACTTTCAATTACCGAGGGAACCAATTAATAATGATTTTATTCAACTTATCGAGTATTTTTCAAGGGACCGGGAAAAAATTTTCACTTTATCGAGAGATTCAAATTTACGAGTTTCAAATTATCAAAATATATCTATTTTTTAATAAGTTTATAGAGAATTGTTTTAACAAATGTTCGTTAGACAAACCTTTACTCGGATATAACCCGGGCGAAGCCGGGTACATCCGCTAGTTTATTTTATATTTTAAAAACACACAAAGTTTGGAGTGGGACGTTTCACAAGAGTGACATCCACGGCTCCAATTTATAATTGTAACCAAGTTCCGAATTCCAAATAACTTTATTAGGTGCCGCTCAAAAAGAGCAGCCTAGATCATCTTATTTACAATATACTGTGCCCCACAGTATGGGATGGTTATGTACAGGGATCATTTACAATTATAATTTGATGCCGTTGGGTCCGGATTCTCGGGTCCTTGGGGATATTGTTCTTGAGAAGGTTTTGTCTGGCTTGTTTGATATCCAAGGTGGGTTTATTTTTCCTTTTTTCCCCACTTTTCGCCATTCTGGCTTAGTTAATGGGTAATTTGTCTAGGTTTTAAATTTATTATTTTCCTCTATCCTCATTTGTAGTTTGTGGCTTCCTTGAAGGTGGGATTTTCTATTTTTTTCGTATTTTTCGTAGAACTTAAATGATTGTCTAATAATCTAGTCATTGATGTTTTCGATATTTAGATCGTTCCTGATTTTTCATATCATTTTATATTCAAAGACTTCTAACTTTTTAATGAATGGTCTTATGTGCTGTCATAAAAATGGGGTGCCCCCCCCCCGTATATGGTTATTTTGCAATGTAGGGATAATTTGCTTTTCGGTCCTAGAAGTAGGGATAGTCGGTGTTGTGCAGCTTTCGCCGAATTGATTCTGTTTTCAATGTGTTATTTGAAGGTTAGGTGCTCGTCAAGGGTCATCCCTAACTATCGGATGTTTTCTTTCCATTTAATATTGTCTTCGAAGACGAAGAGTTCGCCCAAAGGTTTTTTTAATTTTGTCTTCTTTTTCTGGATAAAATGATTGGTTAACTTTTTTGGGGATTCATTGTGACTCGCCATTTTTTACACCAAATCGTGGAAAAGATACAGGCCTCTTGGAGTTTCATGTGGAGTCTGTCGAAGGTGTATGTCGAGACTAAAATGGCGGTATCATCGGCAAATAGGTGTAAAGAGGTGTCTTCAATACAATGGAAGTCGTCTATATTTATGTCCAATAAGGTTGGTCCGGTGACTGATCCTTGAGGGACTCCAGCAAGGATATTCCTAGATGTTGACAGTTCATCTTTGACTTGTACCTTGAATGTTCTATTCGTTAAAAAGGTTTTGCGTTATTTTTATGATGTCTCCAGGAAGGTTGTTTTTGCGCATTTTGTAGAGAAGGGCCTCATGCCAGACTTTGTCGAACGCTTTGGCGATATCGAAGAACACGGCTCCTGTTATTTGGCCTAGGTCCATGGCTTTTCTTATTTTTTCAGTGACAACAACTAGCTGGTGCAATGTTGAGTGCTTGGCTTGGTAGCCAAATTGTTCAGGTCTAAGTGATTATTTTATTCGATGATTTTCTAAGTCTTCTTAAAACAATTCTTTCAAATAGTTTTGAGATGGTAGGTAGCAGTGAGATGGGCCTGTAGCTTGCTGGTTCATGCAGGGATTTCCCTTTTTTAAGTATGGGACAGATAATGGACATTTTCCATCTGTCAGGGAAGTGGACAAGCTGCAGTGATGCGTTAAATATTTCGTTTATTGATGCTTGTATGTGATTAGGGAGCAGTTTAAGAGATTCATTAGGCAATTCGTTGATTCCGGGAGCTTTTTTATTTGGTCGATATTCAATAATCGCTTTGTTGGTTCTATTCCTGTTTCTTTGTCTTTTTTTTTCACATATGAATTCACACATTTGATGTATGTACGAGTAGGTTTGGAGTGAGATGTATAGGGATTGGGGGTGAACTGTTTTTCATAGTTGTTGGCAAATGATTCAGTTGCTTCTTCTGTGGTTAGTGTCTGCCCATTGTTTGTCTTTAATGTTATTTCTTGTTTTACAGAGTTGGATAATCGTTTAATGGCTTTCCATATGGTTTGATCCGTGACTTTCAAGTTTTCGATGAAGTAGTCCCCGCTAGTGTTATCGTGCTGTTGGTTGATCGTATTCTTTCTTTAATGTGAGGTGGATATCTTCGTTCTAATTCCGGGTCCTTATATTTTGTTGATTCTCTCAAATTTTGCACCATTTGTTCTTCAATGTATGTAATGGCCTAGTCTATTTTTAAAGATGTGTCTAGGATCAGTTGAGAAGGTTTGGTGGTTTCCATTTTGTACTTGAAAAGGGCTCAATCTGTTATTTTGATTTTTATATTTGAGTAGTAGATTTTGAAACCCTGTAGCATAAGTAGTACTGGGAGATGATCAGGGGTTAGTTCGTCCAGGACTTTAGAGTAGGCGCTTTAGGAGATGTTTTGTGCACGGCGATATCAATGATATCTGGAGGTGAGTCATGTGTGGGTTCGTCCGGGTAGTTCACATCTAGGTCCTTAACACCGATTGCGTTTTGGAGCCTTCTCCCGCTTTGGTTAGTGGTGGTGGAAAAGTGTATAGATATCGGTTTGATCTAGATAGATGTTTGGTGGTTTGTAGCACGAATACAGGTTCATATTTAACCCGTTTCTGTTTTGATAGATATTCGTTTTGTTTCCAGGCTTGAGGTGGTGGCATGAATAGGTGCATGGCTGTACTTCTTGTAGATAAATATGGCAGTTCCACCACCTTGTTCGGTTAGTCTGTCGTTGCGGAGGGTGATGAAGTTTTGAATCCTCATTTTATGGCACAGCTTGAGCCAGGTTCTGACACTAGTGCGATGTCAATGTCGTAATCGTTCAGGAATTCTGAGAATTGTTGTTTTTTGTTATGGAAACTACACGCGTTCCAGTGAACGATTCGAAGACTATTTTATATATTTTTTTGTATATCATTTACATATAATGCTGTCTACAACTTTCTTCATTATGTTGGCTATTATTGCGGGAACACTAAGAGCCTTTTTGATAGCGCTCTCTATTTGGTTGATCTTAGTGGCTGAAGGAGGATTAGGACGTTCTTTAGTGACATATGGAGTTTTGTTCTTGTTTTGAGTGGGTTGGGAATTCCAGAAGGGTTTGGACCTCTAGGGTTGGATTTTTCTTTTTCTGTATTGGGGTTTGGTTTCTTATTATTTTGGGTTTGGGGCACTCTATCTTTCTGTATAGTGGGCAACCACTCCAACTTTCTGTATGCTGACCCTGACAGTTTGCATATTTAGTTGGGACTTCTTTTTGTTTGGTGCATTCGGATGTGAAATAAATTTCTCCATATTTTACACATTTGGGAGTTTCCCTACATTCAAACTCGGAGTTTCCAAAATTTTGGCACCTGTAGCATTGTCCGGGGCCTTTAGGAGCCCGGTAAGCCTCGAATTTGCACTTCATGTCACAGAGATCTGTGATATTATAAATTTCTTTATTCCTTGGAG